CCCCCCACAGACGACGCCCAGCTCCCAGCTTGGCTGCCCGCTGTCGCCCACAGAACACAGCCTCTGTTCCACAAATCTGCATCAAGCGAGTCTTCTGGCAGCCCCACTAGATGGTGACTAACATATTGGCATATGAGGTATCATCACTGATTTGCCATACTAAAATGTCGAACTTCCATTATTCTTATAAATGAGACAGGGGATTTCATACCTCCGCCAATAGGAAGTGGCAGATCTGTCTTGACAACAGTCACTGCATCTTCTGCATGTGTTCATTATCTAACTGGAAAGTGGGTTCAGTCCTATTCAAGCCCTTTTCTACTGCCCCAACTCCTCACTGCAGGTGATTCCTCTCTTCTCAGAGCTAAAGTTCCATCTCACCTGGCTCACGGCCTATTTCTGTGCTAGAGGTTTGCAGACATGTTCTGGCCAAGAGTTCCACAGTCAGCCTGGTTGGAGCTGAATCCTAGAGCTGCACCTTATCAGCTCTGTGGACCGGTTTGAGCTACGAAACCACCCCATCTCATTTATAAATGGGAATGATGGAAGTATAACACATCAGTGTGGCTTTCACCAATCAGTAACAATACATTATTTGCTTAACATATCAATCTATGCTAACATTGGGGCTGGAGAGATAATGAGGGGCTAAGGATTTGTCTTGCTTGTGGCTGATTCAATCCCAGGCACCCACATAAGGTCCCCTCAGCACCACCAGGAGTGATGCTCGAGCTCAGAGCCAAGAGTAAACCCCAAAGAACACCAGGTGTGGCCTAAATCCAAAAATAAAATAAATGGTAACATCAATAAATTCTTGCTAAATATTAATGCAAATGTTACCTTTCTTATATATTTTCTATCAAACTCAGTTCCCTGAAGGCAGGTCCTATGTCTATTTATATTTATAACCACAAGTATTAGTGTCCAGTAAAGTGCTTTACCTGTTATTTATTTACGTGGGGGCCACAGTTGGCGGTGCTCAGGGGCTACTCCCAGCTCTGTGCTTGGGGGGGGGTCACTCCCGGTGGTGCCTTAGGAAAGCAGGTGGCCCCAAGCTGAACCTTTACATGTAGTCAGCGCACCGAGCTTCAGCCCAGAAAGTGCTTTAAACATATCATGAACTCAATCAATGTGCCTTGTGCACAAGAACATGTGCACCCCAGGGCAATCCACCACTGCCCCCCCCCCAGGCTACCCTTTGCCTCCAGCTCATCAGGTACTGCACTGTGAGCTGACACGGTCTTCATGGTTTTTCATGGCAGTTTTCTCTTTGGGATTTTGTTGGTTGGCTTTAGTGCCACACTTGGCAATTCTCAGGGCTTATTCCTGGCTCTGCACTCAGGGCTGGCAGGGCTTGAGAGACCATACATGGTGCTGGGAGTCAAACACAGGTCAGTGGCATGCAAGCAAGCACCCTACCTGCTGTACTATCTCTCCAACCCCCCCAAAGGAGGTATTTCAACCCCATTCTTACAGATGAGAAAAATCAAGGCACAGACAGTTTACATCGCGGGTCAAGGACACACAGTTAGGATATGAGTTCCAGTTGTCCAGACCCCAAGTCCCAGGCTCTGTGCTCTCCCCACGGACCATACTACATGTCTGACTAGGCCAGAGCCATCTCCCCCAGCCCTGAAGATTGGGAGAAACTGCAATAGGAGATCCACACTGCTTGTCCTGCCTCGGGAAATTTGCTCTTTTGCCCCCAGTAGCTGGCAGTTGCTCCCATTTGATCTTCCCATCACCCTCTTTCTCCTTATTTGAACTTTCTGTCCTTTCCCTTCAAACATGGAACCTCCTGATCCTGGGCACTGCACAAGCTGCCTTTTGGGTCACCTGCCTGCTCAAAGGTAGTGTCCTCAACTGCTTTCTGGCCTGTCTCCCTGGTAACATTGTTTCCTTCCTTGTGGACCCCAGTCTTGTGCTGTGACTACCCCCTTCCACTTATGCAGTTTTCATCTGTCCCCAGTGGGAGCCCACAGGGACCACAGACCCTGGCTGGGACATAAGTTCCCCCAATCTGATAGAAGTCCCTCTGTGCTTTACTGCTTCAGGGGCAGTGAATTCCAGGAGGTGGCCCCTCTCCGTCACTGCCTCTTCCAGGAAGTCATCCCAGACTGGCTGTACTTGAGCCTTACTCCCTTCCTCCTATGCCTTAATGCTGCTCTCCTGGGGGAGCAAATGCCCTGTGAACATCTGACACCTGCTTCCTCAAGGGGCCCGAGTCTGCCCCGTTTGCTGGCAGCCCTCAGGGAGCAATGTGTGAGGAACAGCTGGTCCCAAGGTCTGGCATTGGACAGGCCTCCTTTCAGGCGGCTGGAGGGGGAGAGTGCTCCCTGCTGAGTGCTTGCAGCCCAGGCCTTGTCCTAATGAAGCAGCGTCAGCTGTTGTCACTCTCCTACTGCAGCTCACCCCAAAAAACCCATCCCTTCCTCTTCCAGGCGGCATACAAGTATCAGTTCTTGAGACATCAACTGAATGGAGCCAGAACCCTCAATCCCACTCGCCACCTCCCCACGGCTCACTTAATACGTCGCAAACTTTCTGCTTCAGGAAGTTGAGAAATTTGGCTACTTCAGGTGTCCTTCAAGGTCAAGAACCAGAAATGGGTACTGGATAAAAAAAAGTCACAACCATTGGCTCCAGGCATGGCTGCTCACCATCTGCAGCACATAGACTTTGGGGAGATGAGTGAATGCGGAACCTGATGGTACTCTGGGTGCCACACCACTGCCATTACACGCAAACTTGGGACACAGCCAGGTGACAAATGGGGGGCTCTCCTGGTGGCATGGCAGATCCTGCCTAGAATGAGGTGTGTCTGCAGTGTGGAAGCATCATAACCTTCTCCTTGTGGCAGGCGTGGCCCAACGCCTAGCAGACCTGGGGGATAAACAAGCCACACCTTCCCAGCCTGCCACAAAAGACACTGCCTTGGACCTAGGAAGTCCCTAGGGAAAGGCAGTTAAAAGGCTGAGCCCAGGGCAGCCTGGCTTTACTCTCTCCTTCGGTCCCATAAGGAAACTGAGGCCTGCAGGACCGAAGCATGAGGCTGAGGTGCCAGGGAGTGAAGGAGACTCTGGCTGTGCCTGTCATTCCCTTCTGTGTCACCGCTGGGCAGGCTGGCACCCAGGAGGGGTGGAGTCCCGAGGGGCTATGTGCGCTGCTCTCACATCTGAGTGTCATTCTGGGCCCCCAGCCAGGCCTTCCGCTTCCTCTCCAAGAGAGTCAAAGGCTGAAGCTGCTCAGACAAAGGGCCAAATGAGAGCTAATGGGGAGCTGGTGACTTCAGCCTTTCCCCTTCCTCCTCCCGGAGGAGGTCGGTCGGGGCTCCAGGCTTTGGTGAGAGGGGGCACACATCGAGGTGCGAACAGAGCTCAGCGGGGTGCAGATTCCTACTTGTTTTTTTCATGATCCTGGCACCCACAGACTCTCTCTTCTTCCCCTCACCACCTCCCACCTAGGGTGCTGTAAAAAATGCAAATCAGTAGGATTTTAAAATTCCAGCCCATGCCAGGAACACCCACAAACTCTGAATTAAGACAGATCCTGAGGTGGGTGGCTAGGCCCCCAGATTCCAAGCACAAAGAGAGGATTCTATGAGATTCTTGTCTTCGCGGGGGTTGAGGTCTTGGACATCAGGCATTCTGGGTGACCATTTCTTGTGCTGGGCACGAGCATGGGAAATGCCAGCACTCAGGGTGCAAGGGCTAACCAGCCATCCCACGCTGGCATGCAAAGCACATGAAAACTAGCAGGGAAGGGGGGGGGGGCGGGGGGCTGGGAGCCTGTCTCTGCCTCTCCCCTGAAAAACTCTCCTAGTGGCTTTTGGAGCAGAGGGTCACACAGGAAAAGGGGTTTCAGGAGGAAGGAGCAAAGAAAGAAGGGGCTGGTCAAGGAAGGCAACCTTGGAGTGGGGCAGGCAGGAAGCAGGTCAGGAAGGCTTGACCAAGAAGCATCCCCAAGAACCCCTGGCCCTCTGAATTCCCCCTTCCTGACCCCCTGTCCCCACTGCCCTGCCCCCCACAGCTGCTGAGACCTGCAGCAGCGGAAGGGTCTGGGTCTCAGATGTGAGAGGCACAGACCTCCGAGGAATCTAGTGAGCCCAGGGTACAGCTCTGCTCTTGTGAGCCTGACCCAGGGCGTCTCTAGTTCTGCAAAGCAAGAAGAGAGAGGCACGAGCAAAGTGATACTCTGACCAGGTCGCGCGCAGGGTACACCCCCCTGGAAGGGACTGAAGGACACACGAATGCGGGATGACAGAGACTGAACAGGGGAGTGCGGCCCGGTATCATCTCAGGGCTTCAGACAGAAGCCTTGAGCGGCACATGGGTGCGCACGTGGTCTTCCGGTTTTGTTTTTGTTTTTGTTTGTCCGGGGAGGAGCTGCCATGAAGTCAGAAGTGAGAGAGCCCAGGTTGTCTCCGCCCGAGCTCCCGCACGCACCCCTGCCCCAGCACGGCCGCACCCCTGCGCCCGCACCCCGGCTCCGCGCGCCCCCTCCTCACTCCCGAAGAGCCGACATCTGGCGGGGCCCCCGCCGCTCTCCCGCGCCGGCCCTCCCCCGCCGCTGCAGCTGCCAGCCCCCTCCCTGCTGGCAGACAAGCCCGGGCAGACGGCCGGCCAAGCCTGCCCCCGCAGCCGCGCCGGCTCTGCCAAGCCCGGCCGAGCCAGCTCCCCTCGGCGCGGGGTCCCGGCGGGGCCCGGCCCGCGCGCCCTCCCGCCAGCCCCGGCCACCGGCTGCTGCCCCGTCCCGTCCGCGGCTGTCCCGCCTCGGGGTCTGTGGCCCCCGGCAGGCCGGGCTGGCTCTGTGCTGTCCCGCTCCCTCAATCGCTGCGGTCCGACTCACTCTCAGCAGGCTTAGGTGCAAATTTGTTCGGGGGTCCCCTTCCCTCCAGCCGCGCCTTCTGCCCCGCCGGCCCACCTGCCCTCCTCCCGCCCGCCCCGTGCCCGGTCGTGCCCAGGTAACCCCTGCAGCCCCGACGCCCGCCCGGCGCCTACCAGCTCCTGTTTGAGGCGACGCAGGTAGCAGTCCATGTCCCCGCTCTCCCTCATGAGTGCGTATGCCGAGGTCGGCTCTGCCAGAGTCCTGGGGTGCGGAGGCAGCCCCCCTGAAAGAGCGCTCCGAGCTCCGCGCGTGCCGCCGCCGCCAACCGCACCTCTGCCGGGCCGCGGGGACTCAGCGCCGCTTCCCGGGCCCCGCGCCGTCCGGCAGGGGGCGGGGCGGAAGGCGGGCCCGCCAATGGGAAGCCAGAGGGGAGGCCTCCGGCCAATCGGAAGCGCGGACGCGCGCCCCGCTTGGCCTTAATCCCGGGCTACCGCGGCGGGTGTTTGCTCCCGGCGAGGCTGCGGGGCTGGTCCTGGGGACATCACGTACCCTGGTCGGCGCGGCGGAGGGTGCCGAGCTATCAGTGTCAGTGTCCCGCACCCCCCAACAAAGCACGTCGGTCTTAACGGAGAGATCACAGTGGGTGCGTGCTAGATAACAAGTCTCGGCAAGGCAGAGTGTCACCCGTTGTCAGCTGTTGCCAACTGTGATCCATAGCTTTTGAACGAGAAGTCTTCCAAAAAGTGGATTTGAGGGGAGCGTGCAGCGAAGACCTTACTCAAGTCAGTCACTGGTTGACACCGCGGCACCCTGGACGAGTCTGGGGATGCTCAATAGGGTGCTGCTCAGAAGAATAAACATGGGGCTGGAGGGGAGAAGGATGCTACAAAAACGGTTAGAAAAGTACACAGAAATGCACACACGCACACGATAATTCCAGAAATATTGTTTATGAGAACATAAAGTGTTAGTGGGGTAGGGAAACGTTCGGCCGGCTGGATGGGGAGTGGAGCAGCGGACTGGGCCTTTCTCTTCCCAGTACTCCGGGGACGTGGCCTCCCGACTCTCACTAGGGCCTTGGGCAAAAGGACTAGGTAAGATCGGGAAAGCTGGGGGAGGTGATGGGGACACTCAAACTCAGATTCAGTGCCACAAACCGTGTGTGCGCACCTGCAGCCAGAGTTGCCTTGCATAGGCTGAAACTGACCCTCCTGCGGCCCAGGACTCCTCCCTGCGCGCCGGCGCTGCTGGGGTCCTCCCGCTACTCCAACCCCACCCCCTCACTCCCCCTTCCCTTCGCCTGCAGGTCTCGGCCCCGCGCCACCCCGCCTAGCCCGCGGGGGACGGTGTTGTAGAGCCCCGGAGTAATTAGGACAATTAGCTTTGTGTGTTTCCAGGTAATTAACAGGGAAAGACTTGCCCCAGGCAGAACTTAGGTTCTCCGACTGGGACTGAACCGTAAAGACGCAAAAGACGACGCAAAGGGAGAATTTGAGCACAGCGGTCATTGCCATCGGCCATGCAAGCCGGCCAAGCTGGCCACTTCAACTTCCTGCTGAGAGGTGAAGCGGGAAGGAACCGTCCTCCACAGAGTTGAGACTGCCACGCGCAGTCCAGCAGGCTCCGTTTACGCTCAGACTTTCACCTTTTTTGTTGTTGGCCGACATCAGGCGGTGCTAAGAGAACACTCCTGGCTCGCTCCGGGGAAAAGGGGAAAATACGCGGTGAAAGGATCAAACCCTGGTCAGCACCGTGCAAGGTGCGCGCCTACCCGCTGTACTACCGCTCTGGTCCTTACTCCCGAGCTCTTGTTTATAGTGACATGGCTGGGTTTGGACCAGGATAGAGAGCAGCAGGTGGGTTCAAACCCGGTCCAAGTCTCTGCCTCTTTGGCCGCTGGCCGACGATACCAGGTGCCCCAGCTCCCTTAGCTTGCGGTTTTGCTTAGGTGAGAAAACCCTGCATCCGGGGCTGGGAATGGAGCCTCAAGTCTGCTCAGCTCAGGTGTTTATTTCCAAGCACTCCTGGAAGTTTGGGATTAGCTTTCCTTTGGCACTTGGGGTGGATGGGTCACCGCGGAGAATCTTTCCCTTGAGTTCCTCAGAGTCTTGTCAGGTCCAGCCCTCCTACCCCTCCCCCTTCCTTATAGTTCTGCCAAGATTCTCAAGGGGTCCCCTTCTGTTGGACCCCAGAAGTGTTCCGAATGGCACCTGCAGAACCAGTCCTGGAGTTGAATTCTCCGGCATTGGGCTAGACATGGTGATCTCACCAATGCCATGAAGTTCACTGGGATCTCACACATGGGACGTTCCCTCAACTCTCAGGGTTGTGTTTTGCTGGGTTAGTGCTCTGGCACCCTACAGTGAGCCTGAGGAGGGCACCCAGTGAGGCTTTTAGGGTCCCTTTAGAGCCTGGTGTCCCCCATCCCTGAGAGCTAGAGCACAGCCTGGAATGGTCTTAGTGGTTAGGAAGGTGGTTAGTGTCAAAATTGCTAGTGACAAAAGCTGATTTCTTGACCAGACTAGACTGCGTGGTTCTATCTCCTGGACCAGTGCATTTCATCCTTGTTCCCATTCTCCCTTTCCTGTGTTTTATTCCTGTGTCTTACTAGCTGACACCCGAATCCTGTGTCATGCCCCCACTAATGCCATTTCACCTGTGAACCCCTTCTTGGAATATTGTAGGGGCCCAGGAGAGTGATATGGCCCCATGATTACCGTTTAACCTTATGTGAACCAACACTTTTATGCTCCCAACAAAACTGCTTTGCCAATGGCCTGAGACATAGGACAAGAGAAATCCACCTTAGAGATGAAGACCAGGTTGACAGAAAAGTTGGGTCACATTCCAATTACTTGTAAGGTCAGGAAGATGGCAAGAAAAAAAATAAAATCAAGAATCCTCATCTCAGTGCAGTATAGGGGAGCACACCGAAGGAAGTCTGAGGCTCGGTTGGTGACTGCGAGACTTTGAGGATGACGGCCCATCAAGATTTGAATGCGTCTGTGACTCTGGGCCCTTGCCCCCAAGAAGGCCAGCATTACTGGGCAGGGTGGGGAACACTCTCTCCTGTGTATTGCAGGAGGAGGACTCGGCAAAGGGCTGCCTTCCAGTTCTTTGTTTTAAAGGTTTAAGTGGTAGAGAATAAGGCTGTTGCCATGGTTATATAAACATGGGTAAATAAATATTCCTGGGTTGAGCATGGGGTGGGGGGTAGGGGACATGATTCATTTTTGCCAGAGAGAAAGCAAATGCTTCAGCCTCCTCCCTCCTGCCCCCCAAAATTCAGCCTGGAGGTAGAGGGAGATGATTTTCCTTGAAAGTAAATAATCAAAAGGTCTCGCAATCGGTTGGGAAAATACTTTCCAAAGCCACCCAGAACTGGGGTAGAACTCCCAATGGGTACCTGATGGGGATCAGTTTATGGTGACTACTTTTCCGAAGGGAGAGGGTGTAGCTCCTGGAAACTGTGCTTAAGAGTATCAAACTCCTGGGTTTCCCACCCTAGTTGGCTGGGGGCAGGGGGAGCCACACAGTTGCTCTGCCAGGACCTGAGGGTTCTGGCACTGAGACTGAGCTCCCAGGGAGGGGCAGAACCAGCTGTGTCCCAGCAGAACTCAGAGTGGAAAAGGTTCCCTTCTCCTCCTTTCCGCTGGGTCCACACCCCCCACCCCCCAGCTCTGGAAGATGCACCACTGAGGCAGCCACTGGGAGCCCCTCTCAACGTGCAGTAGAAGAGGCAGGCAACAGCTGGAAACCTCATCAGAACATCATCCTCTCAAGGGAGGAGTTTGTGTCCCCATTGTCCTCCTGTGTCCACCCCTTGAGACTGCAGAGCCATTCCCCCAGCCCCTCCCAATTCCCTCCCCCCCACACACAGACTGGTGAGCATCAACAGGAAAGGCTGGGCCTAGAGATAAACACATGCTGTTGACATTGTCTCTCTCCCGGGGGGCCTGTCCCAGCAGACCTGGGGGTGCTGAGCTCAAGCTGGGTGTCTGTGCATGCACGCATGGAACAGGGGGAAGAGCTACACCAAGGCTCAACCCTTCTGGAAAGACTCTCACAGTCCGGGGGCCAGACAGATAAGACAGCAGGGAACTTGCCTGCATACAGCCAACCCGGGTTTGATTCCTGGCGCCACATATGGCCCCCTGAACTACACCAGGAGTAAGCTGAGAGCACTGCTAAGTGTGGCCCAAAAACAAAAACCATAAAAGAATCTAGGGGCTGGAGATACAGTACAACAGGTAAAGCACTTGCCTTGTACACAGCTATTCAGGTTCAATTTCCAGAATTCCATATGATTCCTTGAAGCCACCAGGAGTAATCCCTGAACACAGGGTTAGGAGCACCACCAGGTGTAGCCCCATAGCCCCTAAAACAAAACAAAACAAAACAAAAGGAATACAAAGGAGAAAGAGAAAGAGAGAGAGAGAGAGAGAGAGAGAGAGAGAGAGAGAGAGAGAATGTGAGGAATTAATTAAAGCACTTACCTTGCATGCAGATGACCCTGGTTTCATCCCTGGCATCACATACTCTCCCCTGAGCACTGTCAGGGGTCACTCCTGAGCACAGGGTCAGGAATAACCCCTGAGCACTGATGGGTTTGTCCCTATCCCTCCCCCAAAAGGAGAGGCAGACAGAGGGAAGGTGTCTTGCTGCTAGCTTCCATGACGCCTTTGTAGGTCAGTGTATGCAGGGAGCTGGGCTCCTCTGGGAACGCAGAGGAGGCGTGCAATGCCTATGTGTTAGGACGTCTCCCTAAATAGAGATGGACTTTAGGTATTTAGAGAAAACCCTTTTGATTCGAGAAAGGAACCAAAGCCTTATCAGAAAGCTATCATTAGCTCTTGGCATCTTCAAACCATTGCTCTCTGCACATATAGGCAGAAGTTGAGACTCAAAGGGCTGAGTGGGAGTGATGATGGAGTAAGGTGTTTGCAAATCCTTCTCTTTCTACCTCCCTCTGCAAGACGCATGAGGGATGTGCACAAAGGTGGTTGGTGGGGAAAATGCCACTGGCTCCCCATTTCTTTGACACACTGTGCTGACTTGAACATGGTCCATGAGACTGGATCACCCTTCAATGGGCCCTGGTCAAGGAGGCCGGAAGGAAGGAATTAGAGGGAGAAATTGTCTAGGGTTTTTTGAGGACCCATATGAATGGGGTCCCGGGATCTCCCCTCTGAACCATTCTCAGGACAAAATGAGATGAGTTCAAATAGTGAACAATGAATCAATCTCAGCTGCTGGAACTGAGTTGGAATAATTTGCGCTCGGTCTGGTGCTTGGGGTGTCTTTGCAATTTTGCTAACTTGGGAGGAACATATATCCATT